TCTCTCTCTCTCTCTCTCTCTCTCTCTCTCTCTCTCTCTCACACACACACACACACACACACACACACACACACACACACACACACATTGGGAGGGGAAGGGGGCTGAGAGGAAAGAGTAGAATCGATGTATTCGAGGCTGTGGAATTTCTTTTCTCGCAGTGTCATTATGGCATTGCGCGCGCTCCGATTGCGGCGCTAATTTTCACGCTCAACGACTACCCGTCTTCACCCAAATAGAACGCCCAGTAATTATTGCCGTATCTAGAGTGAATGTTGCACCAGATACAGCTGTAATGACCGGGCGTTCTATTCGGGTGAAGATATGCAGATCACAACTTTGCGCTGAATTTCACGCTGGAGAAAAATAGTGCAGAGCCAATGCCGCACATATTCTGTGCGGCAATGGCTCCCAGATTGCGTTCGGAGTAAGATTGAGTGCATCGCGCGCACATTAAAGCGCGCCGCGCACACATCACGCACACTTAAGCTCAGCGCGCAACGCACAGCTGCACTGCTCTGCGGCGTGAATCTGATTGCAGGAGCAGCATTCACATTCACAACGCAAGGAACTGTTCCATTGGCCCAAAAAAAAAAAGAAAAAAAAAGGACATACGGTTCAGCCTGTCTACGATGCCGATCAGCGCACACTGTCATCAGCCGAATAGCACGCCCAGTCATTATAGCTGTAGCTGGACCGAAAACAGCCACAAATACAGCTGTTATGACGGTAGGTAATTGCGCACTTGCTTCTCTAGAGAGGTCTCAGAGCATACTCACACGACGACGTTTTTACTTACTCATGGACGTAATTGCGATAAGATGCATCCAGGCCTGACCGTAAATGCGGTCAGATACACTTAAGATAGAGCCAGTGCGAATACGTTCTCACATTATCACATTCTGAGATTCTTGTCATGTCCTCTTCCCTTTCCTTGCATCATGGAGCAAGAGCACAGCACGTATGTGGCCGCTTATATAGCGCACATGCATGCATGCGATGCATTCCAGGTACAAAAACAGTCTGGTGGAAAAATGCATTTTTTTGGTGCGTTAATTTAGCTCCGACGGACTGATGGTATTTCTTTTTTTTTTCTGTGGACTGATGGTTTGATCCCTCTGTCTGTCAGACCAACTGGCGTAGATCAGTTGGTACACACATGGGCTGTTGAAAAACAGACCTGCGTTCGAGTCCAGATGCAACCAAGAAAAAGAAAAAAAAAGAAGAAAAAAAAAGGGAAAAAAAAAAGAAGAAAAAAAAGCCCTGTCAGGACGGGAAACCGAAGCAGCAAGAAGCCAAACAGAGAGAGTGACACGAGATAAAGCTGCCTCTGAAAAAAAAAAAAAAAGAACGAAAGACATATAAAAATAATAATTGATAATAAAAAGATAGAGCAGTCTTCCGGAGTGTCTAAATGGACTCTAGACGAGAAAGAGACAACTCCCAGTGCAAACACTCCAACACACATCACTTCAAAGCGCGCCAAGCGGTACAGCCGCAGAATGGGAAGAACCGCCCTGCGTCAGCAATCACTAAAAACAGATTCAGATTCTTCGGATTGTCTAATAAAAATAATTTATTAAAAAAAAAAAAAAAAAAAACAGATTCTTTTTTCTTTGCTTTGCTTTTCTTTTTTCCTTTGTTTGGGTCTTACCCCTTCTGGCAGAAGGAAACAAAATAAATATATATATCGTCAAACAGAGCTGCCCGGTAAACGGTAGGCAGAGAGGGAGAAGAGGACAAGAAACGAGGGGCTGTGACAAAAAACACGGCACGGCACATAAGCCATAACCCGAGAACGGGGACAAGGAAAGTACCAATTAATAATCATATACAGTTGCGCACGCTCCCCCCCTCCAGCCAATTCTCCCCCCCCCCCCCCCCCCCCTCTCCCCAAATCCTACCTCAGTGAGTGAAGTTGCATTCATGCGACATATCAAGTCATGAAATAGATTATGACAGACAACGATAGAAGAAGGAACCACTGCTCAGGACCATCACCATACTTTTTTTTCTTTTCTTTTCTTTTTTTCTTTTTTTTTTTACTTTTTTTTTAAGAACCTACTCCGCTTACTAGGGGGGGAGATATGAGAAGCCTCCCCTAATAAGGTCGCAGGTTGCGATTGACGATTAATCATTGATGATGATTGATAAATTATGATGAATGATGATGATTGATGATGATGATTGATGATTGATGATGTATTGGTTGTTTTTGTTGTCGTTAGCAGATAACTGTTGGGTACGGAATTGTCATTTTACCTCGTCAAGACGGTAGAATGGTGAAAAAAAAGATAAAAGATAAAAGATAAAAGAATGGTAATGGTCCTCTGTGCCCGGCTTCCAGCAGGTGCAGCTCCCCACCAATGGAACGGGGCAATCAAGAAGAAGAATGACAAGCAATGGCCAATTGCTTCTGCACACGCTCACCGGGAAACGACAATAGACTTCAACGCGCGTGTTCTACACTCATTCATCATCATCATCATCATCGTCATCATCATCATCATCACCATTCTCATCATCATCAGCATCAGCATCGTGTCATCATTTTCGATTCGTTATAATGCCGTCATAAGATGAGATGCATCTGCCAGCAACCTCTCTGCCCCATCAGAAAAAGAAAAACGAAAAAAAAAGGTCAGTGACTGGACGGAGAGCCCGCACAATCGACCTGGATCTTTTGCTCTTTAATGTCTCCTCCTCCTCTCCCTCCATTTCCATTTTCTTTTGTATGTGAGGAATGTACATTCAATGCTTTTTCTTTTCTGTTTTCTTTTTTCTTTCTTTTTTTTCTTTTTTCTTTTTTTCTTTTTTTTTTTCCTTTTTTTCTTTTTTAAACGTTCCTTTGTCTTACTGGGTTCCCCACCTGTCTGTGAATTACTCCCTCTGCAATGAGAGGGCCCATCAATAACGTAGTGGGCTGCATGAATTGGTGGGAAATGTGATACGCATTTTTGTGTGTGTGTGTGTGAACAGACTAAGCATCCGTCCGGAGGAGGGAATTTTTCATTATATTCAATTAAAAAAAAAAAAAAAAACAGTCGCTTGACGTCTGACAGTTTTAAATTTGGATTTTTCATTATTCAATTAAAAAAAAAAAAAAAAGTGTACACCACTAGTCTCGACATGCACGAAAGACAAAAAAAATATGGCGGTGTATCTGTTCGTCTTCTAGCGGAAGATTCATTCTCATTTTTCACATTAGGTGGAGTAGAGGAGGGAGGCGCGTATCAGAGAGGCCCAAAATCATTTTTTTTGACTGGGTTCAAACTCAACAAAGAAAAGGGATTCAAACCAAAAAAAAAAAGCAGACAAAAAAAGAGGAAAGAAAAAGAGAAGAAAAAGAAAAGAAAAAAATCGCGGAATGGTTAACATAAAAAAAAACGGTACATCGTGTCTTTGCAGTGCCCCGATCTACTACCTCCTGCACCCGAATAGAACGCCCCGGTCGTTATATCTGAATAGTCCAACTGACTGTCTAGATACCGAGACAATGACCGGGCGATCTATTCGGCTGAAGATGGTAGAAGAAAGCATTTTTACGAAAAACGTGCGACTTGTCCTCAAATGGAGTAGATGAACGTCCCTCTCTGGGACTAATTAGGAAAGTCGGATTTCTTACGCACGACCCTAATCAAGAGTACTAATTACTTAATTAGGAAGCAACCCAGTCTGACACCGACAAGTCGGGATACCTGTCGGATTATCAATCAGGTCGGGCAGGGAGTCCGAAGGCTGTGCTTGGTACGTCATTATGAAAAGCAAATAGCATACCCAAAAAAA